GGGCCGGCTGTTGGTGGCGCTGGTGGGCCCGCTGCGCTCGCTGCCCGCCGGGCTGCAGTTGCTAAGCTGAGGGGGCGCTCGCGGTTCGGGGGTGGCCGGCGAGGAGGAGGCGAGCGGGCGCTGGATGAGGAGTGGCTTCTCCTCCGCGTCGGATTCCGCTCCTGGGGACGAAGGGGGCTGGAGCGAAGGCGGGAGGCTGGCGCACTGGCCCGCCAGGGTGGAGAGCTGGTTGAGGGGGTTCTCCATGATCAGGTTGGACCGCAGGTGGCTTTGAGGCTCCTCCTCGCCCAGACCGTCGTCATAAGCCTCGTTCGGCAGCTCACGGGAGCGGTCGTCCGCGTCGCAGGCCCTGGGCGTAGAAGAGCACGAGGCGATGAGGAGGCGGCGGCCGTAGCCGAGCGAGCTGCTTTTTTTCTGCAGCACGCTCAGCATCTTCTTGTGCGGCAGCGAGCGGGCATCCTTCTTCGGGACCAGTTTGTGGCGCCGTCGGCGGTGGTGCGACAGGTTGCTGCGGTCGCTGCAGCGGAAGGAGCACAGCTCGCACTTGTACGGCTTCTCGCCCGTGTGCGAGCGCATGTGGGCCTCCAGGTGGCGCTCGTAGGCCGAGGCGAACGGGCACAGGTGGCAGCGGTGGGGTTTCTCTCCTGGTGGATTGAGGGGAAAAAAAGTGGTTGATTAGATTTTTTTTTTTTCCCGGACCGAAACCAGTAGTCGGAGTGCAATTCAACCGTAACCCCCCACCTGTGTGCATTCGAATGTGCTCGACGAGTCTCGCTGTGCCTCGGGTGGCGTAGCTGCAGTACAGGCACTTGAGTTTGCCGTCAAAGGTTCTCTCAAAACCGTCCACCAAAATCCCAGCGCCGTCCTCCAGGGACATGTCCACCGCCGGGTGATCCAGCCCGTTCTGACTGCAATCTGCGCACGGAGGGATATACAGGCAGCAATTTGAAAGTCTCGAACATAGCTGGGACTGAAGAAAAGTGAATTTGTAAAGAGCTCTAACAATGAATGGGGTGGGCATTGCTGTTATATGATCTGTCATCACAAGTTTAACTCTTGAGAAAACAGAAGAAATGTCTACGTTACCGGCCGGTAGTTCATCGGCCTCCTTAACGCCGCTGACGGAGCCCGATATCATGTTGACATGCTGGGTCTGCTGGCTCAGATACTCCTGGAAATCCTTCACGAAGTCCAGCGTGTCTGGCTTTTCCTCGCCCATTGAAAGCAAGGAATGGAAAAATCCAACACTGCAGCAACATTTTAAAAAGGATAAACTGCTTAATAATGTTTGTGAACAGTCGGCGCACCGGGATATTTCCGGGAAGCCGGAAAGTGAATGACTGTGGCTGATGTGGACTGCAAACGATGACAAAAAAACTTGGCACCACCAGATATATAGTCTGCCCCAGTATGCTAACACCTCACAACGTCAAACTCCAGCGACAGACAAGAAGGCTAAACTCATTATTCGTGCCATTGGCGTCTTTTCTCAATCATTCAGCCTTGTAAAATAACAGTGGGGTGTTTACTCGTGGTGCCATTTGAGAAGGCCACTGCATCCCGGAAGTACATGACGTCAAGCTTATCAGGTCACTCAATACATTGTCATAATTAATAAAAAATGTTAGTTGCATCTAAAGGAGTCAAGTACTAAAGACGACTCGAATCCATTGTAAAGCATTCTATACAAGCTTCTAAATGTTTACATACTCACATCCGTTGTATTTGCTTGTTTGAAAAATCCAGGCCAGTATTGAAAACAAAATGTGAACACATGCGGTGTGTCCAGTCGGTGGGTGCTACACATCCCTTCCCATCACCGCCATGTTGACACCTCAGGTAAGTCCGCTAGGTTGACAGCGAACGTTAGCATTAGGCTACATCCAGCATCTCTGTTCAGCGGGGGCGCCGATTTGTGCTTGACAGCGCCATTGTCGCCATTCTTTCTCGTGTACGAGTGAATTCTGAGAAAATGTCCCCGCTGTCAGATTAGGTTTAATTCCAGTTCCCCCACGGATAGCCCAAGATGCTCAACCAAAACAACCAGGTTGGAAGGGGTGAAAGTTCACTGAGTTGTGCTCAGGGAAAAACAGTCCGATCACACGAATTGTCCTTAAGGAAGCGTTCCTACCACTAAAGTTCACCGAGTTGTGTTCAGTGATAAACAGTCCGATCACACGAATTGTCCTTAAAGAAAAGTTCCTACGACTAAACCAGATACCCGACAAATTAAAATGGCAACGTAAATCCATAAATTATAAGCACTCTCATTTTAAAATTCATGTAACGTCCCGATAGTATTTTTTGAAGGTAAAACATCAAGCGGACATCCAGTCAAAGGCCGGGGTGAGCAGTGGTATATTTGGTGAAATTTTTCGCTTCATCACCATTGACGTAAAAAGCGGGCTCGACGTCATCGCGTATCGGCAAATTAAGCTTTTGTGAAGCGTTGAACTACTTGGCGCATCGTTGATTTCTTGAAGCATCGCTTACAGTGACCTCTCCCGGCAAAAAGCAAGGCTGCAATGGATTGAAAACATTTGAAAACTTTTATGCACACGCAGACAAGACCGAATCTCATGTTCTATTTAGAATAAAGATTGATTACTGGGTGTATTGTGTTATGACTGACAGCCATCTGCTATCAAATGTATAACATAAGTAAATAACGCATCCTTCTAAAATGTGTTACAGCAAAACAACTGGGATTGCTTAGAGTGTAAATGTGTCCAAAGACAGAAAATGAACCAAACAATAATCATAACAATAAATTCAAAAAAAAAAAAAGCTTCTTTACCTGTGTTTCCACCAAGTGGACACGAGATGGTGCACACGTCTTGATGATGAAACATTTGAATCTCCCCAATCCACGTGTTATCAGACCTCAACGTACAAAGGAAGCTCTTTGGGAGATACTTGGATCATTATTGATCAATTATACTCCACACATCAGCAGCATGCACATTCACGCTGCTCGCGTGAGACATCTCAGCAGCCAATTAGCATGAGCTCCCAACAGCCTGTCCGTACTTATGTTATTTTATTGCAATTTAATTATGCACAGGTTTCCAGCGGGCCCCCGGATCCTGTTGAATAATTTACATGGAGACAAAATGATTTGTTAGCGAGAAGAGCCGGAACATGCTCTCTCATTTGGTTCAATATGCAATATAGGCTGTACGACTGGATTTGCTAATGTGCAGGTCGGTGGCACCTCCAAAGTCAAACATGGTCAAACAATTTTTTCATGTAGGAAATAATGTCAAATGAAATGCTACTGATGCAAAGTAGAAAAGTATTCTGTGGTCTGACGAGTCCGCATTTCAAATTTTGGGAAGAAAATTGTGCAGGTTGTGTCCTGTGGGCCAAAGAGAAGAACCGTCCGGATTGTTTAGGACGCAAAGTTCAAAAGCCAGCATTTGAATGACGATATTGCTCAGTGACTCTTTAAGTTGCCATTTTGCAAAAGTGCGGCTCTATATCAAGCCGAGCGCTGCACTGGTCTTTGAGGAGGCTGCGTCGTTGTGCGCTCGCCTTGAATCCCATTTCAAAGACGTTCCGTGGCGGCTTTTAACCCGCTTGACTTAAAGGCTGTTTGTGCTCATTTGTGAATATTTTTCCTGACTGTGATTTAATATGCGATTATTTTTCCAAGGTCCTCTTCCCATGTATTTTTTTTTAACAAACAAAAGCAATGCATTCATCTGTATATGTAAGAAGAAACATCATCTCTTCTGATTCCGATTTGAATTTGATTAATTGTTCGGACCTAATTTACACCTCAAATTGAAATTAAATTTGGAGAGGTGGCCCCCTTTTGGCGCGGTGTCATTTTGTTGTTGTTGTTGTTGTTGGGCACATTGGAAGATTATCCGTGTGTAAAAGCTTTTCAATCTCACCCAAGTGCAGCCATAGTAACGACGGGCAGGCGGAAAAGGTGAAGGAGGGCTTAGATGGGAGACTGTTTCTTGGGAGTCTCCACGTGGAGCACTAGAAAAAGAGCCGAGAGTGAGTGTGTGTGTGTGTGTGTGTGTGTGTGCAGGCGAGCATAAAGGAGGTATATATGAAGCTTTTCTTTCCTCTCACCACTTAATTTCCTCGCAGGCGCGCCTCGCCGCTTTGTCATGAATGTAATTGGCGCCTTTGATGAGCTGGCTATTATCTGGATCGCACTTTACATGGGCAAACAAGACTGCCCCCTCCGTCCACCTCCAGCTCCCATTTAACTCGGCGAACGACACCCCCCCCCCCGGAGCCCCCCCTCCCTTTCCTTTTTCTCCCCTCC